CTCCACTCACTCGACTCCACCAATGTCCGCAACAGCATATCGCTTGCAACTCACACTCTCCCTTTCCAACCTCAACTCCAACTCACAATCCCTTGTCAATCGGCTTTTATACAAATACAACAATGTCATTAAACAGACACAACAATGCCAGACACAATAATGTCTAACGCAACAATGGCTATAAACAAATACAACAATGCCAAAAGCAACAATTTCTATAAACATACAACAATGCCGAATACGTAACAATGTCAATAAACAGACAACTAAACTGTTTATTCACATTGTTGTGCTGCTCTCACGACAACACGTTACAATATAATGTATTCTTAATTTCATCCGAAATATAATTCTTGTTACTTATGCGTAATATGTATTAAATCATGTCTGTCTGTCCGTCTGCCACTCCACATGATTAAACTCGAGAACCACTGGACGGATTTTGATTAAATTTGGTGTGGTTGTAATGCCATTGGGTACTGCCCCATAATCGAACTTCTCAGTGTTCTGCAGTAGGTAACCAACATGGCGGACTAACAAACTTGTGAGGTGGAATTGACGCTAACGTAATAGGACCATACAGTGGAAGTTTAGCGAGAAGACTTTGGTACAACAGACATTTGTATGATATAAAACAGTGGTATTCAACCTGGAGTACGCGTACCCCCGGGGGTACGCGAAGACATCTTAGGGGGTACGTGAAATTTAAAAAAAATATATATTATTTTATGATAAACACTGAATAATCAGTAATGTAATTTATTTAATTTATTTTAGATGTATATTATATACTATGTATAACTTGAATTATACACCAACAACTTTGGGGGTACAAAGTTGAAGAGAAATTATATCTGGGGGGCACGCGAACAAAAAAGGTTGAATACCACTGATATAAAATACATGTCGGTCGCATGAGAGGAGTTGTTTTGCGTTCTGGTGGCAAGATACGAACGTAGATGTTGCTATATAACGAATTAGATATGATATTCTCATCAGGCTATTCGCAGAGACTGAACACCCGAGTTCTACAGACGGAAATTTCACAACCCTGACTCCCGGTGGGAAAATGTCACCTGTACTGTGGGGGGTTATACCGATGTCCTCCCCTGTCTACCAATTCCCTTGTTTTCTATGTTAAGAGTACTCAGTGCCTTTTGTAGGCGTGCAGGGGCCGGAGGGGGAACCTCAAGGTAGGGGATGAATAATTATGGCAATAACAAAATGTAGCAACCGACT